CCAGGATTTTAGCAGCTAATGAAGGTGTCCTCTGAGAAACCCTATAAATCCAGTAATTTTCTCTGATGAGATAATGTGGTACAAGAAAAAAGCCCCTTTCTAATCACAAGCCCTCCCCTCCCACTCCGGCCCACCACCAGTGTCAGTGGCTCTCCCAGTTCTCAACAAGCTGAACACAGCATTTCTTTTCTCTAGTTTTTATAGTCCTTTTAGTATAATTAATGTTCTCTTATAAAGCCCGCTCAGAGGAATGGCGCTTGGAATTATTGTTTGTTTTAACTATTTCCCACATCCTGCTGTCCGTAAAGACAAGTCAGTAAACTAAGTTGCTATATCAAAGTAGAGACTGGCGTGATTGTCTAGTCGGGAAAGTGCCGGCTACACAAGTATGAAGACTCAAGGTAAGCCCCTAATGTCCAAGGAGGAAGCCAGGCGTAAGGGCACACGCTTAAAATTCCAGGGCTGGGGCCTCAAAGGCAAGGGCATCCCTGGCTCTCAGTGGCCAGCCTGTCTTGCCCAACTGGCAAACTCCAGGTCCAGTGAGAGACCTTGTCTCAAAAAAAAAAAAAATAGATGGAAAGAAACTGAGAGAGAAACCTCAATGTCAACTTCTGGCTCCCACACGCAAGTACACACACATTCACACACTCTCTCTTACACACATACATGAGAAAAACGACACCAAAGATTTCTAAGCTAACAGCCGATATTGCGATACCATCTATGGGTAAGGCCCTAGAAAATACAAAGGAGCAAAACCTGCATGGATCTTATCTGTACAGCAGCTGACACTGCTACTAGATACGCAATCAAGTTAGCAAAACTATAAGGGGAAGCATGTGAGATCATATGCAAAATATATACAAGCATATTTGTGATGGTTTAAATAAAAATGTCCTCTATAGGTTCATGTATCTGAACACTAGGTCTCTGGCTAGGGGTGATGTTTGGAGAGGTTATAGAACTTTTGGGAGGCACAGCCTTGCTGGACAAAGTAGTCACTGGAGACTGACTGGCTTTGAGAGTCAGTTAGAGCCACGCTCCCAGTTGGCCCTTTGCCTATGTTGGTGCGTGAGGATGTTCTAACTAAGACTCTTGCTCCGGCTGCCAGCTGTCACATCTCCCCTATCACTGAAGACTTTCCCTCTGAAACCATTGGCCCAAATAAACTCTTCCAGAAGACTTCAATGATGGTATTCTATCACAGCAGCAGAAGGTAATGAATATAGGACCATTAGGTCAGAGGACAGAGAGGCTGTTTGTGGTTGGAAAACTCAGGGTGGAAGAATGGTGAGAAAGGTTTGGCATAGAAACTTCAAGCACAAAGCAGGGGTGTTGAGACGACTCTTCCAAGGCTATGCATGTCCTTAAAGGAAAACCAGAAATTGCCCCTGGAAATCCTTCTCTGTTGACGTACAACAGCGTAAGAACTGAACAGGACTTTAAAGGGGCAAAAGAACTTTCAGGTTTCTGACCTCGGACTAACAGCTAACGAACATCCTCCTTTATGTCTGCTGAGGGTAAAAATTTCTGGGTGGTTCTAAGTTCTAGGTTCTCTGGACATCCTCACCATTTACCCTACCCGCTGAGGCTGTTTCTATGTATAACCGAGTCATGAGACTTTCTACGTGGTATTTAAGAATCATACACGCTGCCCGATCGTGTTTACATCTACATTAATAATTAGGAATGGGCAGGGTCTTAAGGCCAAGCAAACACAAATCTCAACACTTAACCATCTGAGAGTGGTCTGTTCTATATGTTCTTGAGCCAAAAGATGCACAAAGTCGTACTTGTAGCAGTATCACCCAGGCTAGTCACCAATGGAAGCAGACCAACTATCTCCCAACAGCTACGGGGCTTGGTGACACACACCTGCAATCACACTGCTGTGGGGGCTAATGCAGGGGGGTCATGAAGTCAAAGCCAGCCTGGGCTACAAAGCTGAACCCTCTTTAAAAAAAAAAAACCTAGGGAATAAATAAATTTAGGCATATTATATAGTGGTATATTATTTGAGTTTTAATAAATAAAGCTTGCCTGAAGATCAAAGGGCAAAGCAGCCGTACTAGTCAGCCATACAGGCCAGGGAGTGATAGCACACACCTTTAATCCTAAAACTTAGCAGACAGAGGCAGATCTCTGTGAGTTCAAGGCCACTCTGGGTTCCACAAGATTGAATGTGTCTAAAAGAGAAACAAAGGTGGTCCCAGCACTTGGGATCCCAAGCCTTTAATCCCAGCAATAGGGAGGTGGAGACGGGAGTATGGCTGGGCGGAGAGAGGAATATAAAGAGGAAAAGATGGGAACTCAGTGGAGTGTGGAGTCTGAGGTTGGTGGAGAGCATTGCCGGATCGCCCCTTTGTTTGTCTGAGCATTGGTAGAGGTAAGATCTCTCTGTTGGCTTGGCTGCTTTGATTTTCTGATCTTCAGTTTGAACTCCAATGTCTGTCTCTGGGTTTTTATTATTCGTGCTATACTTGGCACCCAATGTGGGGCTCAAACCCACAACTCTGGGATTAAGAGTCTCATGCTGTACCATCTATTAATCTGGTGGAATACTACTGCAAGCAAGATCAACTTGACAGGCGTAACATTGTAAGGTCAGTTGCCAGAAATAGAAAACCTACTATAAGGTTTTACATTGAGAAAAAATAAGCAAAAATTAATGTGATATTGAAATCAGACTATTGGTTACCCTGAGGTGTTGGGGACTGAAGGTGACACTAGAAAAACCTCTAATATCCTGAAAGTGCCTGTTTCTTAGTCGGAAAGGTGGTTATTGGAAAACCATATTTCAAAAAAATCATCACGCTAATTGACAACCTTTTCTACATGCTGCTTTATCTCAGTAAATTATCTTTAAAAATTCATTATATTAAAGAAATATAGTAGGATGCGCAACAACAAGCTTAAAATTGAAGTGCAGTACGTATATTCACATTCACAACTTTCTCTTAAAATTCTTCTGTGTCTGCTTGTTTTAGCTTAGTATTAATGTGCACATTTAGGCGGGGAATCAGCATAGACTCACAGTAACAGTACTAAAACTTGCACAACTAAGAGGATTTATTACTCTTCTTCACTGGTCCTTGTAGGAGAGGAGGAAGGTGGGGGGAGGAGGAGGAGCAGAGCATTAAGAGTTAAAGCAACAGGGATATGGGAAGAACTTCAGGCCTTTTAAAGCATGAGAAGAAGGGAAAAAACCAACACAAGGTCACCAGATCATTTTCAGCAGCTGAACAATTGTTACTTTAAAAAATGTTACAAGCCAAGAGGGAGGGACTAAGTGCCTAGCAACTGCCACTCGGCTTGAACCACGCCTCACTCAGGCAACAACGGATCCAGCTACGATGGGATCTCATGCTAGAAGCTGTAACCCTAGCTCCAGGCTGCCATGAATACATCACCAGCCCATAGATGCCATTAAGTATAAAATTGCCTCTTCAATAACTGTAGCACACATCCTTTTCTGCAAGTTAACACTACATAAAGAAAAATATCCCTTTCCTACCCTCAGGTCAGATACCAGAATGAGTGACCGCCCATCCACACAGCATTCAGAGCTCTGCGTTTTCCTTTAACTGTGAAAACGGGGAGGGAAGGGGTCACAGTCTGCAGGAAAAGGAAAAAAAAAAGGCGCCTTCTTAAGCAAGATATAAGATGCAGACCCCAGGCCAGGGCTTGGCCTCTAATCCTCTACAGAGGAAAATACCCACCTACCAGTACAATTAGCACCTGCTCGTCCAAGTCCCCTTTGCAGAGACTGCAGCAGGCAATCTTGTCAAAGATGCTGGGGACAGCCTAGGCGGAGAAGCACGGGCCTCACACTTGGAAAAGGCCAAGTGTTCTCTAGCTTACACTCTCAGAAAACTGTCACCTGTCAATCACTTGACCTAAATACAACAGTCACTGGGGGAATGGGGGGAGGGAGAGGGGGTAGTCCGAGCATGCTCAGTGATGGAGATGACATCACTTAATCAATGCTGGAGTCGGGAAGGCTGCATCAGCAGCCTGGAGCGGGCTGCCAGGAACGTGTCAGTGGGGACCTAGAGGCTCGCATTAACTCAGTTCCTTCCCACGCGGCTGGAATACAAAGAGGGCACCGTGGGCCACACACTCGAGGGAGAGCAGACTAAGAAGGGGGGGTGGGGACAAGGCTAGTTTATTTCATTTGGTATATTCCCTTAAGAATTATAAGCCATTAGTATCCCCTCCCCCTTCCAGCAGTCTGACTGCAGAGGGGGAGCTAAGTTGGGGAGAGGCACTATGTGGGGAAAGGTAGGGAAGGGTGATCAAAGGGGAGATCCTGGATACGGTGAAGTAACTTCTGCTATTGTCACAGAGTGGCTATTTAGGGGCTCCCTCTCTCAGCAGATTGGACAGTCCTCCTTCCACCCAGAGCAAGGATATCAGACTACCTGCGGACACTCGGGAGAGAGGATCTGGGGGGGGGGGGGCCGGGGGACAGGGAGCATCCAGCAGAGAAAGCACTAATCTAGGACAATTTGGGGTAATAGAAAGCGGGAGACGTGAGAGACCTCCCAGGGATACCAAGAACACCCCTCACCTTCCACACGGGGAGCAAGGTGAAACCGCCTATGCGAGGCCCAGGCGAGCATTTTGTCTTTCTTGCACCTTTCCTCCCTACCTTTTTGGTTGGGGTCTTAAGACAAACAGAAGCCTGGATGCATCTGTGGGTTGTAGAGCTTATACTTTTGACCAAGGCCCGGGCATCCAGACTTGCTGGCAACCCGAAACACTGCCCACGCGGCGGCGAGCGTGGGAACAATAGGCCCACCCGAGCCCCCACCCGCGAACAATGGCGGACCTCGCACGCCCCCGCCGCCCCGCGCCACCACCGCCGGGAGGGAGTCACCGGCCAAGTGCTCTTGCCTGGTTCAGCCGCGAGCCCAGCCCTGCGGGGATGTCCGAGGGGGCGTTCGGAAGATTTCTGCAGTGCAAACCCGGAGGAGGGGCGAGATACCAAGGCCACTTACCCCGATCACCACCGTCTCGTCGCCTTTGAATTTGGGGATGAATTTGTCCCCGCGGAGGATCTCCGCTTCGTTGAGGGGCCGGAACCGGCACATCACTTTGATGCTGCATTCGGCTGGATCCGCCATCTCGGGACGTTGCAGGAGGGGACGCGGGGATGGGTGGGGGGCCGGGCTGGGCAGCGCCACCGATGAGGCCGCGAACCAACCGTTGCCCGCAGCTAGGCCGCCTCCCGCAGCCTCCCGCAGCTTCTCAGCAGGTCATCGCTAGTCTGCGCTGGACAGCCGGGCTGCTCAGGGAAGGAGAGCAGCCTATCAGCTGGGCCCCCCCTCCCCCGCTGCTGACCTCCAGCCCGATCCTACGCCCTGGCCCACCTGGCCGCGGGAGGACTAGGCGATGCGCAGGGAGAGATCCCCGCCCGGCTCAGACCTCCCGGGCTCCGGCGCGCTCAGCCATCCTGCATCAGCACCAGGGTGCTCCGGCACCTCCAGGCCCGCCCCCTCTGCCCCGCCTCGGCACGGTGATGTCACTGCAGAGCCCGCCTTACTCTGGGTGTGAGCGCTGCGCATCCCGGGACTTGTAGTCAGTCACCCTGCCTACAGGAGGGAGGACAAGGATGCTAGGATTAGTTTGTGAGAACATCCTCTCATCCCCACTCCCCACCCCGAGGAGCTACAGGACTGATGTGACTGCACAAGCCAAGAACAGAATGGAAGCCATAGTTAATATTGCCGGTTAAACTCTTTATAAAAAAACAGATCACATCTTTTCTTGATCCCAAAGAGAAAATACTTATTAACACAGTGTACAACCCAACAGCCAAAGAGAGTTTCTCTGTGAAGCAGGTTTTGCAAGAGTTCTGAGGAAAACAGAAAAAAAAAATGAGATTTGCATGGAAGCCAGTGATGTCTGGAAATGCCTGCACATAGGTAGTTCTTAGCAGTTCAGATTCGATGAAAACCAAGGACTTTATCACTGCAAAACTAAGTCAGGAAACAAATCTGCACACCCACATATTTGGCATGGTACTTTCGAGCCTGGAGATTAAAACTGCCTCTGAGTCCCAAATCAGGAACCTCTCAACCAAGTGTGTTGGTGCATGCTTGAAATCCCAACACTCAGAAGACAGCTTGGGGCAAATGTGTGTGTGTGTGTGTGTGTGTGTGTGTGTGTGTGTGTGTGTGTGTACGTGCATGTATGGATAGGACCTCTCAGTTACAACTAATCATACAGCAGTTTTTAATTCTGTTTAGAATCCTGCAGAATGAACAGAATGTAGAGAAAAACAATTCTAAAGTTCTTGACAGACCCAGGCCCCCCAAATCACATTTATCCATATATATATTTAGACTCCCTCCTCTTCTGTTACTTCTTGTCTTGATGCTTACAATCTAATAGGTACCAAACTTCCTGAGACACCTTCCATTCAACTGTCCTGCTTTTTTGCCCTAACATTTGCATAGGCCATTTGCTCTGCTGGACTGACGCATTCCTGTCCATCAGTCTTGGTGACCTTATGAAGGCTGGTAGAAGTGTGACCAGAGTCACCAAAGCAAGTGGAGAACTTATTAGAATACAAAGGGTCTTACTTATCTATTCAAGAAGGTACTAAACAACCAAGCCAGAGAAAGGGTGGGCTACTAAGACTCTGCCTTTGGGGCTATGATCTCAGTACTGATCTTGTTCTTACTCAAGATCAGTCCCCACCTGTCAGGAAACCAAGTGCCAACAGCCTGTCATTCTCCAGTATAGATACAGATAGATGGTTTTTCCAAGTTTGGATTTGAAACCTCCCAGGAAAGGTCTATGAATGGTCCAGGATTAGGCTAGCATCTGCCACGAGCACAATAAACTAGAGTCAGAATGTTTGTAACTTCATGAAGGACTCTCATGAGAGGAAGGTTCCAGAAAGAAAAGTGATGCATTCCCATGTCCCACAAGAACACATTGTCCCACAAGGACATCCAAAAACTGTGTGTCCGGCACAGTTTGCCAACACTTATTTGTCAAGCCTAAGACTACTTCTACAGAAAAAATTCCCTAAGGGCCTGCGGCTGGTTATCCTTACTTAGAGCCTCAGGCTTCTGGGTCTGCATCACTACATCGAAACAATGAAAACCTCCTAGCTTTGTGCCACCTGCAACAGGGAGTGCAGAATATAAAGCACACGGAGCGAAGAAGTCAACTGAGCACGAATCCTTCCTCTCTCACCTGCGACAAAGTATTTAGTTTCCTTCAGACACAGTTTTCTAATCTCTATCATTAGAATAGCAGTACTGCCTTAGAATGTTTTTAGCAAATTAAGAACAATATTACTTGTAAAGGTTTAGCATGGTGTTTGAGATATATATATATATGTGTGTGTGTGTGTGTGTGTGTATTATTACATATATATATGTGTGTGTTGGCTTCTATATATAATAAGGCAATTTTTAGATACTGTTCTGGCTGTCCTGGAACTCACTTTGTAGACCAGGCTGGCCTCGAACGCATAGAGATCCACCTGCCTCCCAAGTGCTGGGATTAAAGCATATGCCACCACCCAGTTATACCGTTATTCTTACTGAATATTGAATAAATGATTGTAAATAGTCAGCTATTTAATTTTAGAATTATATCTGTTGCTTCCATTTAGTTATACCCAGATGTTGTGAGATATTTGTACACTATAAAAATGTATTGCTGTGACTGGTATAATAAAAGGCTGAATGGCCAACAGCTGGGCAGAAGGTATAGGCAGGACTTCCAGATAGAAAGAACTCAGGGAAGAAAAGAGGAGAAGGGAGGACACACAGAGGGAATAAAAAGGAGGTGCAAAATGGAAAAGGGGGTAACACCAGGCAATAGAATGCAAATTAATATAAATGGGTTAATTTAAGCTATAAGAGCTAGATAGGAATAAGCCTAAGCTATAGGCCAAGCTTTCATAATTAGAGCTTTCATAATTAATAAGAAGTCTCCATGTCATTATTCGGAAGCTGTCTGGCAGGAACTCATTGCACCCAGGAATACAAGACAGACTCACTGAAGTGAACATTTCTAAACCATGGTAGGCAAGACCCATTTGGTCTTCTCTCCTCAGAAGCAGCTAAAGTGGTGATGGGGGACCTGTGATGCCCCTTCTCATCTGTGTCAGACTAAGCCTGTCTCAGACTCTGGCTAACAGACCGCTTGTCCTTTGGAAAATCAGTGTGAATGTTTAGCTGAAAGCCAGTGAGGCCTGTAAGAGGTGATTCGGTCATTAGAAGGGATTAATACCTTTTCCACAGGAGTGAGCTCTTGCTCTCATGAGACTAGGTTAGTTGCCATGAGAGTAATTGCCAACCAGGCTCAGCACCCTCTGCTCTTTCTTGTTCTCTCTTTCACTGACCAAGGGATCCTTCCCATGTGTGATTCTTCTGGTTATCCACCATGTGTGAAGCAGCAAATGGCCCTCACCAGACAGAAGCCAAGCAGGTGCCAGTGTCAGACTCATGAGCTAAATCAAACCATTCTTTATAAGCCAAGGAGCCTCAGATGGTTTGTTACAGCAATAGCAACAAAACCAAAACTTAGTATACCAGCGATGATGTAGCAGGCTTTCTTTTGGGCCACCAACCAACTCCCAGATCAAGACTCAGAGACTCCTAATTAGCTATAAATGTGTAACCTTATCCTATATTTGTCCCACTAGCTCTTCTAACTTAGTTTAACCTGTTTGTCTCATCTACATTTTGTCTCAGGGATTTTTACCTTTCTTTCCTTCTGGATGTGCTAGCTCCCTGCTTAGTCCATGTCTGGCTGCCTGGAGGCTGCCTGGCTGGCTGGCCCCGGGTGTCTCTCTCTCTTTCTCCCTCATTCCCTCCTCTTCTCATTCTTGAACCTAGATTCGTTCTCCTACTTATTCTCTTTGCCCACCAGCCCTGCCTATTCCTCTACTGCCTAGCTATTGGCTGTTGAGCTTTTTATTAGACCAATCAGGTGCCTTAGGCAGGCAAGGTAAAACAGCAACACATCTCTACATAATTAAACAAATGTAGCAAAAACACATGTAACACACCTTTCCATAGTTAAAGTAATATTCTGCAACATGAGGACATTCCTACTAACTTCCTTGGGTCCAATAGAGGATACTCAGAACTCCATATACTTGTTTCTTTGAGAGTCTCAGACCTACGAATAATCCAGAATGCTCAAAGACCTGCCTATGTGTTGATGGGCTCCCTCTTTGCACATCAATTCATCCAGTCAACCTTCTACTATTTACCAGGCAATAACATTTGCTCCCAATTGCTAAGTGTATGAAGTGAACCCTTACCAAAAAGGTTATCATAGGGACCCCATTGAAGAGGTTACAAATACAGACAATAAAGCGTTCATTGTGCCTGAGAAGATGGGCTAAAGAGGATTCAAGAAAAAAAAATACAAAAGCCCCCAAAGAGTAACAAGAAAGAAAATTTGAAATGTTTAAATACATAAAAATGTAAACTGTGGGGCCTGGCGAGATGGCTCAGTGGGTAAAGGCAAGCTGTCAAGTCTAACAACCGAGTGCACCCCCTTTCACCTACATGGTAGAAGGAGACAACTGACTATTGAGAGTTGTTCTTGGACCGTCACAGGAGCACTATGGCTTACATGTAAACACACACACACACACACACACACACACACACACACACAAACACTCTCATGCATGTACACAAGGACACATGCATACACAGACAAAATAAAGAAATAAAATGTAACTTAAAGCTCCTATGCATTAAAGAATGATAATAACAACAACAAAAAGTAATTTAATAAAACAAAATAATTTGTAAATTATATATATATATAAATATATATGATATGTAGGTTATCATATATTCAAAATATATAAAGAGAACTCTTGAACTCACACCCAAAACCAAACAACTTAAGTTTTTTTAAAAAAAAAAAAGTTGCCAAATAACTGAATAGACTTTCTCTGAAGAAGATGTACAAATGACCGATAAGCACAGGAAAAAGATAGAGGGAACAGCAAATTAAGACTCTAAGATACGTTACTTAAAACCTATTAGGATGATAAGAAAGGAAGTGAGGGAAGAGAGAGGGAGGCAGGGCTGGGGAGAGAGAAACATTTGCAGTGTGAAGAAACTGATGCTCCTGTACACAGATCTTGGTAAAAATGATAGAACTATTATAAAAACAGTATCAGCCTCCTCAAAAAATTAAGGCATAGAATTATCATATGACCCAGCAATTCTACTGCTAGTTATATGTTCCCCAATCAACGGATAATTGGAATTTTGCACATCAGCGTTCATTAGCAACATTATTCGCCAAAAGATTAAATCAATCCAGTGTCCATCACTGATAAATGTACAAACCTATAATGAAATATTGTTCTGTCGTTAAGTGCTAGGAAATCCTGATACATGTTGCAATATGAATGAACCTTGAACAGTCTCTGTTAAGTAAAATAAATCACTCACCAAAGAAAGCAGGCAGCTGTCCTCTGTATCTGGGAGGT